AGCAGCGAGGAGGAAGAGGAGGAGATCGACGATGAGGTATCCGCGCCTGGCTGAGAAAGGCCCTGTGTGGCAGCTTGGAGCAGCCCTTCCCACCTTGGCTGGTGAAACTGGGAATTTCAGGAGTTGGGTGTCCCCCCATAGCAGCCCGTGACTCAGCTCTGCAGTGACCCAGGGTGGGACATGGGGGAGGCCACTTTGCATCCCGAGGGACAGACAAGTTCTCTTGTGACAAAGCTGTCCCAGACTTGTCCCTCGTGGCGGAGATGATGCAGAGGGGCCGGCTCCGTGCCGGGTGTGCGGGAAGGCGGCAGCGCTGACCCGCTCAGCCCTGCGGTCGATGCATCTCCCTTAGGAGATCGAGCGGCGCCGGGGGATGATGCGGCAGCGAGCGCAGGAGAGGAAGACTGAGGAGTTGGAGGTGATGGAGCTGGAGGATGAGGGCAGATCTGGAGAGGAGTCTGAGTCAGAGTCCGAGTACGAGGAGTACACGGACAGCGAGGACGAGATGGAGCCACGGCTCAAGCCCGTCTTCATCCGCAAGTAGGTGATGCAGGGAGGTGACCCGGGAGCTCCTCGCGCGGGACGGTGGCACCGGTGCCCCCGGGGGAGGTGACCCGCAGGGGGGCCGGCTGCCGGTGGCTCCGGTCCCAGCAGGGCTCTGTGGGGCGGCTGGGACCGGGTGAGCACGGGGCTGGGAAGGGGAGGGCAGGGAGGCCTCTGCCCCTGGGCCCTGCTCCGAGGGTGCTGCAGGACGGAGCAGGACGGCTCGGAGCCACAACGATGGCTGCCTGGGCTATCACCGCGACGCTGAAGGCTGCGGGGTTCCTGTCCACAGGAAAGACCGGATCACAGTGCAGGAGCGAGAGGCAGAAGCCTTGAAGCAGAAGGAGCTGGAGCAGGAGGCGAAGAGAATGGCAGAGGAGGGGCGCAAGTACACGCTCAAGGTAGGGGGGACGGCAGGGCAGGCGCGGGACGGGCACGGCCGCGGCTTCAGCGCGGCTCTCGCTGCAGATCGTAGAAGAGGAAGCCAAGAAGGAACTGGAGGAGAACAAGCGCTCGCTGGCGGCGCTGGATGCGCTCGATACAGACGACGAGAACGACGAGGAGGAGTACGAGGCCTGGAAAGTCCGGGAGCTGAAGCGCATCAAACGGGACCGCGAGGAACGAGAGGCGTAAGCACCGGCACTGCGTCCGGCCCGGCCCGAGCCCGGGCGCCCTGCGGCTCAAACGCTGCTTGAGCCTCACGCCCTGTGGCAGCTGCTTCTTACCTGGCCCGGCACCCAAACTCTGCTGTCCCCAGCAGAGCTGTTGGATGTGATCCCTTAGAAAGGAGGCCTGTGCTAGTAGTTATCCCCAGGGGCTGCTGCGGGGATCCCGGTTCTGATGGGTTTTTGTCCTACCCAGCATGGAGAAGGAGAAGGCGGAGATCGAGCGGATGCGGAACCTGACGGAGGAGGAGCGCCGTGCCGAGCTTCGCGCCAACGGCAAGGTCATCACCAACAAGGCAGTGAAGGGCAAATACAAGTTCCTGCAGAAGTACTACCACCGCGGCGCCTTCTTCATGGTGAGCGACGCCGCGGGGACGGAGCGGGTGTGCGGGACCTGCCTCTGCGGGCCTGGGGCTCACGAGCAGCAGGTTTCCCAGCTGAGGCAGATGAGGAGCAGTGGAGAGGTTCCCCTAGAGCTCTTTGGGCCAATAAGTCCTGTCGGAACCAAACGAGCTCCGCACTGGCTGTGGATTGGGCTTAGGCTCTAGGAGTGACTGCGAGAGGCAGCCCTGGGGCGCAGGTTCCCCCGCTCCCTGCAGCAGCTCCAGTAGGACCATGCGTGGTGCTGGCCCCAGGAAGCCGTGACCGGGGTCTGCGGTGGCTCTGTGCCCCGCGGCCAGCACGTGCTGGAGACCCGTGCTGAGGGCTGCGCCCTTCCTCCGCAGGATGAAGATGAGGAGGTGTACAAGAGGGACTTCAGCGCGCCGACCCTGGAGGATCACTTCAACAAGACCATCCTGCCCAAAGTCATGCAGGTGGGTGCACGGGCACGGCGGGAGGCTCCCTGCGCTCCGTGGGGAAGGGCACGGGCACGACGGACTCGGCATCATGTCCGTGTGGCTGCTCACGAGCTCTTCTGCTCCGCAGGTCAAGAACTTTGGGCGCTCCGGGCGGACAAAGTACACGCACCTGGTGGACCAGGACACCACGTCGTTCGACTCCGCGTGGGGCCAGGAGAGCGCGCAGAACACCAAGTTCTTCAAGCAGAAGGCGGCAGGCGTGCGCGACGTCTTTGAGCGGCCCTCGGCCAAGAAGCGGAAAACCACCTAAGGGAG